CTCCTCCTCCCCTCCTCTGAGGCCTGAGTGGTTGGGTCAAACCACTAAATTTAATGAAATCTTAAAAAATCTTTTTCTTTACTCCTGGACATCAAGCAGTCAAACTGTTGGTATGAGTGTAATGAGCATGGAGTCCTCTACCAAAAATTTGAAATTCATGGCCCCAAGATCATGGGTTCTAGTGCTAGGGCAGGGCTATATAGATTATATAGTGAAAATGCATTATTTCTTTAAAAATCTTTTTCTTTGCTCCTGTGTATTAAATAAACTTGCTAAGTACATAGTTATTATGAGCAAGAGTGCTTCTTCCAAAAATTGTGAAATTTATGGCTTGAGGATAAGGGGTTCTGGTGTTAGGGCGGAGCTCTATTGATTATTTGGTGGAAATGCATTAATTTTTTGAAAATCTTCTTCTATGTTCCTGGGTATCAAATAAACTAACTAAGTACTACATAGTTATGATGAACAAGAGTGCCTCTACCAATATTGTGAATTTTTTGGCTCCAGGGTCAGGGGTTCTGGTGTTAGGGCGGGGCTCTATTGATCATATAGTGAAAATACATTAAATCTTTGAAAATCTTCTTCTCTGTCTTTGGGTATTTACTTTTAACTTTTGAAATAAGTGGCCCCAGGGTCAGTGGTTCCTTTGGGATGGGGTGCATAACTGGTTATAAAATGGAAGTACATTTTCTCTTTGTCACTGTGTTCTACCTCTGGGTATTAAGTAACTCGAGTGAGCATGCTAAGTGTATTTATAATTATGATAAGCAATGGTGACTCTTTCAAAATTGGGAATTTCATAGCCTCTGGTTTAAAAACACGACCAAATCAATTGTTGGAAAGTTGTTACATGATACTCAGGTGACCTATAAGGCCCGTGGACCTCTTGTGTAATTATAGTATTTCGTATTTCCTTCCTTGTTGATGTTTCTGAAAAACACGATACATGTTTTATTGTAATTATTAATGTACCAATAAAAAAGCGATACAACTTGGTGATATTGAGAGGAAATGCATTGTAAATATTCCAGGTTTCAGATATTATTTCTGACAACAATTTTCATTCAAGACATATCATTTGTTAAAGGTAAGAATTTGTTTTGTTTTAAAAACAATAAAAATTGCTTTGATACCGTAAATCTGGAAATTTTTGCTGTAGATAAATTTTTACAAATTTGCTAGTTCATTGCATTCGCAAAAATATTTTTCTTAAAAATAAATCACCAGTAAGAAACTGTAAACAAAGCAATGGTCATTCGCAAAGTTTTGAAACGTAAAAATTAATCAACAGCATTTTGACCCGAATTCACAAAATAAAATCGACGTAAAAATTTCCAGATTTACAGTATTCATTGAATAACTCGACAACATACAGTAATAATAATTATCGGTATATTATGAAATCAAATCACAGTTAATAGTTAGAGAATCATTAACGATTTTCAATTAGTATCTAATTTTGCAAAAAGTACACTTCCACAATTTTACTATTTTTTATGTATTAATTTTGTTTCTCTTATAACCTCACGTACATAGTTGTTGACAGAGTCTCGGGCAACAGTTGATCTATCGGACCGGAGTGATATACATGTATGTTGACCAAGACCAAAGTCAACGGTTAAATCGGTGCTCAGGAATAAAAAAAATAACGTTTTCTATGATTTAGTCTTGATGATTAAACTAAAGTATTCTCTTTTAATTAAAACACATGTCCATAACATTTTTATCAGTTTCTAATTGTTTTAGAACACATTTTTAGTATGACCCTTTGTATACTGGGATATGGAAGATCCTATGATCTCCTGTACTTATTTTTTTTCTTTCTGAAATGTGTTTTTTTAAGTTTGGGAAATGGAACAAGTCAAAGATTGAAAGTGCTGGTCAATATTGTTAATGTGACTAAACATTGACTTTCTTTTTATCCCCAGAACTCCTTTACTCTTATGGGTTTGGACGCTGTCAAGATTAAATTTAATGTAGTGAATTCCTCATTCTTGCTCCATCCTCACATAAACCTTTCACATTAAAAAAAAATGCTTTCTAGACTCTTCCAGAAATCGAAATTACTCCCCAATAAGAGTTTGAACAAGACGACTAATATTTAAGAAAATAAAATATAAAACGGTTTTGTGTGCTCTTGCAAGTCATTGCTCTTTTCAGGCCTTCGCTGTTTTGTCAAGTGTATCTCATTGTAAATTTGTTTTAATGGTTCAAAGCAAAATGAATTCAAGTTCCATTATCTGTTTGAATTTCAGATATACAGGATACGTACATTTTTTAAAACTTAAAAAAAATGATTGTTTAGATATTCCTACACGCTGTCATTTTTACTCATTTTTCAAATTATTCGGTGATCTTGGAGTATTAAACTTTTTTACTCTCAAATGTTTCTTTAAAACAGTGTGAACTACCCCAAAATGATGTCTATAAAATTTCTTATGTGGCTTCAAGTCAATCAAAATACTTAGTGATAGTTTGTTGAATTTTGGCAAATATACATTGGTTGTTATTTGTCCTTGTCGCCAAGGACGGTACCCATTTTTGATGTCCATTATATCATCTTTGTTCATTGTAATTCACCTGGTCATGTGTTTATAAAACAGACATTGGTTGCTAGTATTTCAGTTAACATAACTTTGAAATTCTTGAAATTTGAAAGTTTTACAGCAGGTTCAATGGAGCGTTTAATTTCACTCTAGTTTACTGATTCTTGACTATTAATTTTTGAAGCAGTTTTTTGAATATCCCTTGTTTTCCAGCTTCTCACATGAGCTTCTCAGCTTCTCTGATGAGAAGTGATCACAAAAACTGTTATGAACTCATTAAAGTTTCAATACTAAGTAATTAGAGAAAGTCAAGCTTAATGGCATATAATTTCTATGTTTTATATCATCGAGCTGATGACATTGTTTATTGAACGTACTCTTGTTTTAGATTAGGGTTTCCCCTCTAAATTTCTTTTTCCCGGAAAACTGACTGTAGAGTAAGACCCCCCACCCCCTTCGGAAAATTTAACTTATAGACGCTAGAGTCTAGAGTAGGAGTTTTCCTACGGATAGTTGATTTCGGAGTTCTAGAATTATTTTCCTTCCTGTATAGTAGGTATTCCCGCTTCTTCTAATCTTGCTTTCACTTGTATTAACAGATTTAAAAAAGAGGGAACATCTTCTATATACAGAAAGTTTAATCTTGCTTTAACATATAGTACCGTTGCTTGCATGGTACGGTGGAAAGAATGTTCGCTAGATAAAGTCGCAAAGCATGAAGTTGGTCCTAATCAGGCACGTAGCATCGTTTTTGAAAGTCGGGGGCCAACCTGAGAAATTTTTTTTTTACTTACCTAAAAAAAGTTGACAAGCAAAAAAAAAAAAAAAGGAAAATTAAAAATTACCCAAACTCGAAAATCCTATTTCGTGGGGGGGAAGGGGGGGTATTTCATTTTTTCAAAGGCAACTTCCTTTCACTTCCAAATTTTTTCCTATAATTCCTTGCTATGTAAATACTGTGACAAAAGGTGGGGGAGCAATAATCTTTTCAATGGACATTTTCTATAGTTAAGGTAATGTTGGGAAAAAAAGTTGGGGGTGGGGGTGGGGGGGTGGGAGAAGATCCCCCTGTTGCTACGTGCCTGCTTATGTCGCGGTTTCGAATCCGCTGCAGCACAAGAACGTGTATAAATCGAGTCCTGTGTCGCAGGATGTGCTGGCACAAAAGAGGTACTTTATGATCATTGCTCAAACTAAGGCACCGTTCACGGTAGCTCAGTCGGTAGAGCGCTCGCTCCGTGATCGGGAGGTCGTGAGTTCGTATCTCGGCCGCGACTGACCTAGTCGTTAAAATTGGTTCCTTCGCCATGCGCTCGGCACATTGAAGTGAAGTTGCGGGTTCTTCGGATGAGACCTTAAAAACCGAGGCCCCGTGTCAGCGGCAGGCGTTGGCACGATAAAGATCCCTCACTGCTCAATGACCTTGTCCGTCCATCCGTTTATCCGACTATGGATTAGCCCTAGATTTGTACACAGCTAGTTCTCATGTCTAAAATGGTATGAAATGATCGTTGATAAGAAAGCTCGGGCACTTCTTTTGTTAAAGTCACTACAATGACTCTCGATGGCTCGAACTCTGATCTCTCAAAATTGAAACCCCTGTTTTATTTTTTCTCTATATAATTAAACAAATTTACTCCCAAAAACTCGAACGTTCGATCTCTAGAAGTTCGCAATACTGAGAACCAGAACTAGGTCCTGTCACACTTAGAAATTTCATTGTATTTGACTCTTGATCTATCAAATACATGTATTGATTTAGCGTGTATGCTAATCAAGCGTTCAATTTAATTCTGCTATTTATGACTTATCTGAATACATGTATAACGCTTAATGTCTAAGGCTCGAATGAATACGTTGATTGGGTGTTTTCCCAAATGACATTTAACCTAGCTGTGTGTTTTCCGAGAATTGATGATAAAATGTGTTCGATCATTAAAAAAAGACGTTTTCGACTAATTTTCTAATTTCCAAAATTAAAATGGATATGGAAATTCTTTGTTTAGGTTAATTTTTTTTAGATGAAGGAAATGAATGAAAAAAGTTAAGCTATTTAAATAAACTGCCTGTATACATTTAAATACACTTTTTTATTATGTTGAAAGAACAATTATCTCACATTTAGATTTTCACACATTTTTAAGATAAGATTTGATTTCAAAGAGTTATTTTTTAAATAGTTAAAAAAGATAAAGTAATGGTAATTTAATGCATTACTCTTAAAAATTAGAGTAACGGGAATGGTAAATTAATGTCGAAAATCTTGAAGTATTCCAAATGTAATTCACTATTTTACAATGTAATTCGCCCCAAGCCTGGTCAAATTCTAAGATCATTGGATTAAGAGTAGGGGGTACAGACAGACTCGAGTCCTTTCTGTTTAATTTAATGACTATATATATTTTGGAGCTCACTAATTGACTATTAAATTAATATATAAAATACATTTCCCAGGTTAGAAATTTGATTATTATCAAATTAATTGTTCCAGCTCAAAATATTCGACTTGTAAATGGGTACACAGCTGCTATGGGTCGAGTTGAGGTTAAGAATAACGGTGCATGGGGAACTGTTTGTGATGACGACTGGGATGACATAGATGCTGCTGTAGTGTGCTCTATGCTAGGATTTTCAAGGTTAGATAGGAAGAGAATCAAAACCATTAACTTGTACATGCATTACGTTTTTTTCATCGTCATTTCATTAAGGATTATCAGCAGATCATCAAAATTGAAATATAGAACATAAGACTCATTTAGTGATATTGAAGAGATTCTTTTTTTTTCAGGGAAAATGCAGTGGCCAAGAACAGTGCTTTCTTTGGACAAGGACATGGAAGTATATGGATGGACCAGGTTAGATGTACAGGAACGGAGACTAATTTATTTCATTGTTCTAAATCAGAGCTTGGTACACACGATTGTACCCATGGTGAAGATGCAGGAGTTGTTTGCTCATTAGGTACGTTTATCAACAACCTGGCCTAGAACAATGTACCAGTATAGATAATTTAAAAATAACTTTTTCCCTGGGCCTTTTAGAAAAAAATTGAACTGTGTTAAATTTACGTTGAAAATATAGTAATTTTCAATCGGACAATTCACTCCGACCACGCTGGTGATTGCACATGATTATTTGTTTAAAAATGTCATTTTACCTTTAGCCCATATGTTATGACTTTCTTAATTGCATATTGTCCTACATTTTTTTCCTTTTATCCCTGCCATTTTAATTAAAATTTATAGAACGTCAATCTGGAATGTAATATATATCGACAAGAAAGTCTCTTACAAGTTTTTTTTTTCAAATACTTGCGCAAAAAGCACTTTCTATATTCAGACATTTACATTTTACTATATTTACTATTTTATTACATGTAGCTTTAATCAATAAAAATGTTTCTGACTTGAATGTATGCCAAAACACTTTTGTATATAAAAAGTCCATAAGGTTAATTTACCTTATAGTAGAATAAGATTAAGAGTCACTGATGTTCAGTCTGACTTTGCCAATTATTGTAATTGTGATTGTGCCGATATATATTTGTATTTGTATAAAAAAAACAGCAGCGAAAATTTTTTACGAATGTTTGTCACTAACAGTTCAGTTCTGGAAGATATGATTGAAGATAATAATTGATTAAAGAAACTATTTTTGGCTACATCCGATTCGAGTGACATCAATAGGCAGAAAATTAAGTTTTATTCTTCCGATGAAAGCTATCACCCAAAAATGTGTCAATAATGGCAAAAATATGCATTTTCGACCACTTCCGGTGATGTTTTGATGATGTCACTGGTTGCCACTAAATATTTTGTACAACTTTGTTTTAATAATGTATAACAGAATTTTTACGGTTATTGAAGTTTTGAGAAAAAGCTTTTAGCCCATCAAAATCCCTTCTTTTAGAGGCAAGACCCTTGATGATTATATTTGATGAAAGATATTGTAATTTTGTATAAGTATTGTTCAATATGTCTTTACAAATTATTTACTGAAAAAGGGACAAGGAAGAAACAGCGTCGAAATTTTTGAAATTTCAATATGCCTTTTTCGGACCATAGCGAGCGCCGATGTGAGGTGTTTCCGGTAAAAACAAAATGCGAAAAGCATATCTACAGAAATAAGTCTTTCAGACCTGAAAGTTTAATGTTTCTATCTCAAGCCATTCATGAGAAAAAACTCTGGACAACCTGACCCTTTAAAAATCATAAAATCGGCAATATCTTAGACCGGAAGTGATTTCATAAAAAAGAAACCAGTAGTCTCTGTCGAGACTGTAGCTCTACTGGTTTGTACTTATAATAAACGAAGAGAAAAGTAGCATTTGGGACTTAAAACTTTACAAAAACAACATATAAAATAACTAGAGCAAAGCTCGTTGCAAACCAACGAGTAGGTGTTCCGTTCTGATTGACCGGAAGTAATGCTAAATATAAAGAAATGTGTAATGACGTTTCTAATGAGTTAAATCACCAAAATATATGTTGATTATTGGAAAAGTAATTCATTTTTTGCTACTTCCGGTTCAACCGGGAGTGACGACGACGGACGAAAATTCAAGTCTTATGCTTCTAGTGGCAGATATAACCCAAAAACGTGTCAATAACGGCAAAAATATGCATTATCTGACTACTTCCCGTTTGGTCGGAAGTGACGTCACCGGACGTATATTGACAATTTCCAAAGATTGAACTTAACATTTTGAAACTTTTGCTTTTTTGATGTATTACAAATTCTCAATACTTTTAGAGATATCAGGAAAAAACTTTCTGGCCCTTCTAGATCCCTTATTTAAGGGATCAGCCCTTTTTTCAAGATATAATTTAAAAGATCTTGAAATTCTACACTTCTTTTCTTCTATATGTTTAAATAAAATATTTTCAGGTAAAAAGATATCGTAGAAAAGGTGTTAAAAATTTTGAAATTCGCGTTAGGACTATTTTCAGACCATAGCGAGCGCCGTCGTGCGGCATATCCGGTAAAAATGATGTGTTATGCACATCTGCAGACATGAGTCTATCATACTTAATAGTTTCATAATAGTTAATAGTTTCATGTTTCTATCTAGAGCCATTTGTGAGAAAATCCCTGGACAACCCGACCCTTTAAAAAGCATGAAATCGGCAATATCTCAGACCGAAAGTGACGTTTCAAAAAAGAAAAAAAAATGCATAAGGTTCAAGGGATGATACATAAGTCCTGAAAGTTTCATGAAATCCATCATGTCGTTTTCGAGAAATCGCGTGCACAAAATTGGTAAGACAAAAAACAATAATAAAAGTGAAAAAGAAACCTAAGAATAACAGAAAGGTCTTCCGCTGAAGACGAAAGACCTTAAGGATCCTTGATTATGTCTCTTTTTGTGACAAGACTGCAATAAGACTACAACTGTAGGAGTAGCTTTTAATAAAAATTAAGAATTTACTATTTTAGTTTCAATGGCAACATCAATCATCAAAATAAAAAAAACCCACACAACTAATAATTATGTATCTCAGTGTAGTCTACTTGCATGCCAAATTATATTATAATCTGTATTATAATACTGTATTTGGAGTAGCATTTTGAAAGTATTTCACAGAAATTTATATTTTTAGTAACCACGGCAACACCGTTCACCGAAATCAAAAACTGATACAAAAACTTAACTATCTTAGCGTAGTCTACTTGTGTGCCAAGTTCGTATATTGAAATCAGACCAAAACTGTAGGTGGAGTAGCATTTCTAAAGTATTTCACAGAAATTTCTGTTTTTTTGAAACCACGGCAACAGCGTTCATCTAAATCGAAGAAAGATACACAGAATAATACATCTCAGTGTAGTCTACTTGTGTGCCTAGTTATATTGAAATCAGCCCAAAACTGTAGTAGTAGTAGCATTTTTAAAGTATTTTATAGAAATTTCTATTTTTAGTAAACACGGAAACATCGTTCATCGAAACCAAAAATCGATACTTATGTATACAGAATTATGTTTCGTAGTGTAGTCTACTTTTGTGCCAAGTATATTGAAATCAGACCAAAACTATAGGAGGAGTAGCATTTCGAAAATTGTTTACAGACAAACAGACAGACAGAAGGACGGACGCCGGACCCATTACTATCGCATACGTTTTTCTAGTCTCTGACCAGCAGAGATAAACAAAAAATGCAAACGGTTCAAGTGGATATACATAAGTTATGAAAGTTTCATAAAAAGTGAAAAAGAAACCTAAGAATAACAGAAAGGTCTTCTGCTGAAGACGTGACCTTTATGATATCTATTACGGTGATAAGTATACTAATATATCAAAGAAAAAATATTAATCTTGACAATGAAATATGTAATAGTACGTTACAATTACATGTATATGTAAACAGTATTAAACATAAAGTCTTAAAAGTTACTGCAAAATTTGACTAAAGACTGTTTTGAACATAGTATATAAGATAAGTATGATTGATTGGTTGTTTGTTATTTCGAGTCCCATTCAAGAAATTTTCACTCATATAAAACGTCACAAAGTACTGGTGAAGGGATTCAAATTTTGAATTATACTAGGTACTCAGGGTCATTGATCAGTGAGGGATCTTAGTCATGCCAATGTCTGCCGTGACATGGTTTTCAAGGTCTCATTCGAAGGACCCAAAACTTTCACTTCAAAGTGTCGATCACCTTGCACTTATATTATCGACTTAGGTCGGGATACGAACCCACGACCTTCCGATTACTGAGTGAGTGCTCTACCGACTAAGCTACATGAGATATCATTCAAAAGCCAAATAGAACGGAAGACGTACATTTAAAGAGGCGGGGGGTGGCAGCCATTTTCAGATTATTTCGATCTCCTATAAAAGAAGATCTCCATATATACTGAAAGGAAAAAGAAACGCATAATAGCATAATATCGAAATATATTTAACTATATGGCCGAAAATTATGAAAATTTGTCAAATGTGTATTTTGATTACTGTGCACTAAAATTGCTGGTCAAAATTACTCAACCAAGAAATGTATGGCGTCACGTAGGGGAAATGATAAAAAGCCAAAAACACGTGCATGTTGATGATGACAATTTTATGATCACATTTTGTGGTGCTAATCGATGCATTGGAGTTATAGACATCGTTTTCCGCATTTGAAATCAGTATAAATTTCGTGCAATCATGGTATGGCTGACGGAAGTTACACTGGTTCCAGTAATTGAATTGCGTAAGTGAATAAAAAGGCAACAAGATGTTGCTGTGCAGTTTGTTTTAAACTTTTCAACAAAAAAAGGTTTTTCAGTTTTCAGAGAGTAAATTAAAAGGTTTCCAACCAACGATGGCGGTGACGTTGACGCGTAACAACGTCACATCAAGACAGGGCTTTTAATCATGTCACCTCGGTTGTTGTCAAGGTGTTATCACTGAAACCGATATTTATACTGCAAACTATCATACCAATATTTTCACCCTAAAATTGACAGAAATTCTCTGCTCTAATTTGGTCCGCGAGCTTGGCAACTTTTACGTCGATTTTACTCTCACGCGCGCACGTACGCGTCGTGTGCGTAATGTTTTTAGCATGTTCACACTCGGAAAATGTAGCCAGTGACCTTCTCACAAACATTCACGTGTACCAAACCAGCTGGATTCTGTAAATTCTATCCTAAAATGAAAATTCGTGGCACTCATTTGGCGGGGGGATTTATTGGCTTTGGAATAATACAGCTTCTATCAACCATTTAGACTATTGTCGGAAGCGTTGAATAATAATCAAATGAGAAAGATAAATGCTCTGGTGTACTCAATGCACAGGAAAATCAAGGCTGTTACCAATGTGCAAGGGAGATGATGAGAATTTTTATTTTAATTTTGGAGGGTATCGACATATCAATTTCAATAACTCAGGAATTATCAGTCAAAGTCACACAAGATTTTGGTAACTTGTAGATTAAAGATGAATTAAAATGTTTGATAACAATACTGGAAAACATTTTCGAAATAATAGTTTTAATTTAATTTAAAAGTAAAATATGCGTTTCTTTTTCCTTTCAGTATATAAAGATATACAAAAATGATAAACCTTTAAAACAAAAATGTTTGAATTTCTTCTTTGCTAAATAATCGTTGTCAGCTTGAGATACCATATATAAAAAAATAAGTTAAATCTGGTGGTTAATTTGTTGACCACCAGCTTCCTTAATAATGAAAACAAACAATTAAATTAATTTAAAAAACGTTAAGAACAAGCAAACGCACAAACATTACACAATCCTCAAAACAAAAAAGTGGATAGGTGGGTGAACGAAAATTTTCTTATGTGCCTACATCAGTATGGGATTTTATACTTAGGGTAATTTAATTTGATTATCTCTTTTTGTTACATTAAGAATTTTATTTACTATCTAAAGAAACCACTTCCAAACGTATAATAATGTTAGAAATGATCTGTCAGACTGACGATTTTTCATCTCGTTCACTCAAAAGAAAATATATTAATAAAATGCTGCTGGTTATATATAAATTTCACAGTGCCCAGGAAGGGTCTCACTTACAGGAAGGCGATATTCGATTTCCTTAGGTAGCAGGAACATTACAGAAAATGTAAATTTATCATTGCAAAATATATTATTACAAAGGCTTTGTAGTGATTTTTAAAATTTTCTGACAGAGAAAAATACTAAAGTATCTAATTGAAATAACTCTTAAATCAACTCTTTTGTTTCACTATATTCTTTACTGTTGTTGTGCACTAGATAATATAAGACTTGTCAATGGATCTTTGCCCTATGAGGGACGGGTAGAGATTAAACATAACGGTGTTTGGGGTACCATATGTGATGATGGATGGGACAATAAAGACGCAGGAGTTGTTTGTTCTATGCTAGGCTTTCCGAGGTAAGTTAAATTGTTACAAAGCATAAATTTTTATATTGAATAATTGTTTTTACAGAATTTATCAAAATCTTACTATAAACAAATTTCTCCTGATATTTTTTCGTGTAGAAATTTTGCAACAGCCAAATCGGGCGCATTTTATGGACAAGGAATTGGCAAAATTTGGATCGACGATTTGTTATGTAGTGGTCATGAATCTAATATATTGCAATGTAATACTACAGCATTAGGCAAACATAACTGTGGCCACACGGAGGATGCTGGAGTACTTTGTTCACCCGGTACGTATGCATGCAATTTCTACGACGACTAAATGTGTTAGATTTCCCCGTATTGTTTCTAAAGTGCATGTCAAATCCGAGGTACAATATGTAATAAAAAAAAAAAAAAAAAGACAATCAAAGAAAATGAATGCACCTGTAAATTTTAAAAGTAATAGCACTAACTAATCACAAAACAAGATAGAGATATAGGAATAATTTATTTAAAAAAAAAACCGAATGTAATTTATCATTCAATCAAATAGCTAGGAAATACTCGGTATGACATTATGGGCTTTTGTAAACCTTTTATGTTGAGAATATTGTAAACAAACAACAATGGAATTAAAGCGTGAATCACGTATTCTTTTAACGCAATAAATTAACTAAAACATTCCACAGTGAGTAATGGGGGAGGGGATTTCATCATTTTCAGCTAAAAATGTTCGACTTGTAAATGGGTACACAGCTGCGATGGGTCGAGTTGAGGTAAGGAATAACGGTTCCTGGGGAACTGTTTGTGATGACGATTGGGATGACAATGACGCTGCTGTAGTGTGCTCAATGCTCGGATATTCAAGGTTAGATAATCCATTTATGATTAATATGCAGTACAACATTAAGGATCCCATATATATGCAGTCTTTCGCAACCTTACCTTCAATTCCGTCAATGCAGTACGTATACTAGGATATAATTACATGTAACTGTAATCCCACTTTGGGATGTGGAGACGGTCTTTTGGGTGATACCGAAGAAACCATGTCCAGTGTTGCAGAAGATGCTGGCACGAAAAAATCCCTCACTGCTCAAGGACTCTGAGTCCCGAGTGTAGGTTAAAATTCGAAGCTCTTTATGGACTTTTACGAGGAGCGCTGACTTTTACAGTTGACACTTACTTTTACACTAGGGCTATGTACGGTGGCTCCTTTACGATATAAACATTTAGCTCAACATTCAATTAAACGGAAATAACAGTTATTTCAATGCACATATAAGTTGTCCTTGAAGAAAATGACAACGACCCTACCCTCAGCTCCCGGTCTTCACAAGTTAGTGCCCCTAACACCATACTTATGACCACAAGAAAAGATTTTTTATGCATTATCAATTATGTACTTCCGTACATGATACAAGTTTAAATGTCCAAGTAAACGTCAACTGTAGAAGTCAGTGCTTCTCGTAAAAGTCCAGTCAACTGGTGTCGTCTTGATAGTGGACTTTTACGAGAAGCGCTGACTTCTACAGTTGACGGTTTACTTGGACATTTAAACTTGTATGATGTACGGAAGTACAGAATTGATATTGCATAAGAAAACCTTTATAGTGGTCATAGGTATAGTGTTAGGGGCACTTACATGTGAAGACCGGGAGTTGAGGATAGGGTGGTTATCGTTTTCTTCATGGACAACTTATATGAGCATTGAAATAACCCGATATTTTCGTTTAATTAAATGTTGAGCTAAATATTTATATCATAAAAGAGCTACCGTACATTAGATCTCGTGTAAAAGTAATCGTCAACTGTAAAAGTCAGCGCTCCTCGTAAAAGTCCAGTAATAAGTTCAAAAGAGCAACAAGCAAACAAAAAACAAAACAAAGTAATAATTATCTGTGTGCCAGATTTATTCTTGTTAAACACCATATTATCTTACTGTATTGTTTTATTTGAGGTATTTCTTTATTTTATCGATAATTTACTGTAATAGTTATTTTATCATTTTTCATTGGCATATTGTCATTAGTAATAAGTAGAAACATTGAACATAATATATAAACTATTCGTAATTTTACGCTTTTTAAAATTTATTCTGTATACAGGGAAATTTCTCTCCCGTTTTATCTTAAAGTAGCCACATTCGCCCATCTCACAGGTGGATGAATATCTGACTGGGTAATTTCAGAAAACACAATCATTATAATTTAATAGAAATAATATTCGGCAAAGAACTTTATTCGGTATAAATAACCAATATTTGCCCCCCCCCCCTTTCCAATCAAACTTTGACAGAGAAATATTTAATTTTGTTCTTAAAGTAAACAGGGAACTTCAAAACATTGGATATTTTCATAAGCAGTGACGTCATATGTTAAAAATGACATCACGAAAATGAAGAGTAAATTTAAAATTTCCATGATTTCTATAGAAAAATGTATATTTTACATCGATATTTTGAGTAAAATTCACCGAGCGCAGGTCTGACCAGGCTCAAAATTTTCATATAATGTGTAGAATGATAATATGAACTAGAGCCGAGCTCGTTGCAAAGCAACGAGTAGGTCTTCCGTTGGAGCTATGGACAGGAAGTACCGACCTTGGGTCAAGGTCACTGCACTTTCTTTGTGAACAACCTTTCTTCTCAGTATGAGCCTCCAGTGAATTTTAATTACAAAGTTATGCTTAAACATTTTTTTCTCTGTCAGTGACCTAGATTTGCTAGAAAGACCTTTGATCAGGGTCATGACACAACCTCCAATCATAAGTAATCTATGTTTCAAGTAAGAGCCTCCAATGATTTTCATTTAAAATTCACAGCGTGGGAAAGAAAATATTTTTTTTTTCTGTCAGTGACCTTGATCTTAACAGAATTGGCTCTGTGTCAAGACAAACCTTCAATCTGAAACAACTTTTAGTGACTCAAAATTCATAACTCTGACAGGAATTTTACAACTTTTCTGTCATTGGCCCTGAATTTGTTAAAATGGCCTTATTTTAAGTCATCTGAAACCGGCGGACTATAAACAATTTTTATCAAGTATGAACTTAAACAAAAATTGTCCAAATTGAAATGATACTATTTTCGGAGTCAGAATCATAGAAAAATCCTTTTGTCACAAGCAATCTCTGTATCAAGTATTAGCAAACAAATATTCTCGATTACATATAAATGACTGCGACAAAACATTTATTCTTTATGCAGTGATCTTGAATTTGCCGTAATATTGCCTTGATTCATGACACATCCTAGGATCATTATAGCGTGGCCTTCTGGGAAAAACTCTGAGGGACAGATAGACATCTGGACAGTTAAACAGACAATTTAATTCCCAATCCATCCACCCTACCCCCTTAAATACTCAATCACTTTGTGGGGGAAACTCTGGTCATGATTTGAAAAGAAAGTAATCTTTTTTATATCAGGAAGCTTTCATAAGTATAGTTTCTCATTCTTGCCCAGAGGTTCATAAGAATAATATTGTAAAACGAACCCTTCTTATTTTACTAGCCGTTTTCTTCATTATCTTCATTTTATATCATCCAAGGTCGCCCTCACAGCGCACTGATTAGAGCGTCTGCTTTATAGTCGCAAAGTAAGGAGTTCATCCTTACATCGTGGGTTCGAATCCCACTGTCGGACGTGAAGGCCTGTTCTTCGGATGAAACCGTATAAAACAAGGCCCCATGTCGCTTAAGGTGCTGGCACGAAAAAGATCCCCTACCCCCGGTCAAAGGCTTTAAGTGCCGATTATAGGATATTTAAAGCTCTCCACTGGCTAGTGCATGATGTCATCTCTATACGAGTGAAATATTCTTGAGAGGGACGTTAATACATATCAATCATATCCCCCCCCCCCCCAAAAAAAAAATGATTAAGAATTTTGCCTATTAAATATTTCGGGAGGGGTGTTGAAAGTTTAGGCTACGTACAACTATCAGTCCATTGAATAAGAATATTTATTTCGAACTTTGGGGAAAGGGGGTGGGGTGCATGGGGGAGTTATGGTGTATACGTAATACATTTGAGATTATTATTATTCCGTTAGACAGAAAGGCCCAAGGAGTTGTGATTTGCTGATCATGATCTAAAACACATTGACAAACCCTAACCACATGGTTTTATACACGTCCTTCAATTAATTTATTCATAATTATTTTCCTTGAAGGAGAAATGCATGGATAAAAGATAAAAGAAAATTCCTGATGTACAATAGCATCCATGCATGGACTTTTAGTACTTACATATTGTGCTTGAAGTTGAATAAAATCAACAAATGAATTTAATTTAAATAAGAAAGGGGGCTTATGTTTCATAAAATAAATTAGACAATAATTGATACAGGGAGACTCTCTGTACATGAATGTATTTGAACAAAATGCCTCTCTCCTGCCTTCTTTCGTACATTAATTTTTTTAAACCAGGAAAAGTAATGTGTGTTAGATATAAGTTCATAATTTTTAAAGAAAATACTGAGTTATATACGATAAACGATACAAATGGTTTGACTATGGTGCCGGATATTATTTTAGGTCACCTGAGTAAACTCAGGTGACCTATTGCTATCAGTTTTCGTCCGTCGTCGTGCGTCGTGCGTCGTCCGTTAACATTTGAACATTTTCAGCTTCTTCTCTGCAACCACTGAACCAATTTCAACCAAATTTGGCACAAAGCATCTATGGGTGAAGGGGAACAAAAATTGTGAATTTCATGATCCCTGCCCCCTGGGGCCTGAGGGGTGGGGCCAAAACCACTAAAATTAATGCAATCTTTAAAAATCTTCTTCTTTACTCCTGGACATCAAGCAGTCAAACTGTTTGCATGATTGTAATCAGCAATGAGTCCTCTACCAAAATTGTGAAATTCATAGCCCTGGGGTCAGAGGTTCTAGTGCTAGGGCGGGGCTAAATAAGTAGGTAGTGAAAATGCATTATTTCTTTGAAAATCTTCTTCTCTGCTCCTGGGTAATAAATAACCCAACTAAGTACATAATTATGATGAGCAAGAGTGCCTCTACCAAAATTGTGAATTTTATGGCCCCAGGGTCAGGGGTTCTGGTGTTAGGGCGGGGCTCTATTGATTATATAGTGAAAATACATGAATTCTTTGAAAATCTTCTTCTCTGCTCCTGGGTATTAAATAAACTAACTAAGTACATAGTTATGATGAGCAAGAGTGCCTCTACCAAAATTGTGAATTTTATGGCCCCAGGGTCAGGGGTTCTGGTGTTAGGACGGGGCTCTATTGATTATATAGTGAAAATACATGAATTCTTTGAAAATCTTCTTCTCTGCTCCTGGGTATTAAATAAACTAACTAAGTACATAGTTATGATGAACAAGAGTGCCTCTACCAAAATTGTGAATTTTATGGCCCCAGGGTCAGGGGTTCTTGTCTTAGGGTGGGGCTCTAATGATTATATAGTGAAATGTATGAATTCTTTGAACATCTTATCCTTTGCTCCTGGTTAATATACTAATGATCTAATTACATATTATAGGCCAGGATTTATTTTATTTTCAGTTTTACAAACCCTCCACTCAAGGTTTTGAATTTTCAGAAAAAAATAAAAACAATTTTTTTCTTTCCGATGTCAAATTTGAGTCGGGATCGAGATTTCAAGTTTACAAACTCGCACTTCCGGTTTTAAGATGAAACGGCGGGTAAATAAAGCTAATCTGAGAAGAAGCTTGGTTTGGTGTAAAATTCACCGATACTAGTGCCATTCAAAATGTTTCACCCGTTCAAAGGACAAATAAAATGCTGACGACTTTGTTGCACAATGACATGCTGGTGAGATAATTATGTATTCGTTTCAAAAGTATCTGTCTGTAAATTATTTTCCTCCCCAAGGTTTTAAACTG